AAGCCTCCAGGTCCTGGACTTGAACTGCGGTCAGCCATGAGAGAGCCCAGTGCCTTAACTTAACCACCATGCCATTTGCTGGCCTCAGAGAGCTACACATTTTTATTTTTTAAGTTTTTGACTTAGGGCATGAGTACTCACAGGAGAGAGACAGAGACAGAGAGAAGGAAAGTGAGAAATCACCCTTGGGGGGAGGTGGCCACACCACAATCCCTTCTCCTCCATTCTCTTCTTGGGAGTTTGGACACATGTGCACATGTGCCCGGCATGATTTTCAGGCCTTCAGGTCTGGGACACAAACAATGGTTTGGAGTTCAGAGCCTTAACTACCATGCTACCTGCTGGCCCCAGAGCTAAACATTTTGTTCATCACTATATAGCCAAAACTTAATACAATGGGACATAGTTGGCACACATTTAATAACTTTTTTTTTTGGAGAGGTTTTTGCTATAGGGCACGTGCGCTCGCCAGACAGAGAGAGCCAGAGAGACAGAAAGTGAGAAATCACTCCCAAGAAAGGATGATCACGCCACAATCCCTTCTCCTCCATTCTCCCAGGATCTTGGGCATGCATGCACACACGCCCGGTGTGATTTTTAAGCCACCAGGTCTGGGATGCGAACCGTGGCCAACTACATGGGAATCCAGCGACATAGCCATTACACTAACTACTGGTCCCATATTTAATAACTTTTAAAAGAGTGAGTAAATTGGGAGCCAGCATTTGGCTTGGTGGTTAAGGTGCTAGACTCCCACATGACTGACTGTGGTTCGAATCATGGACCCAGTGGCTTAAGAATCTCTCTGGGCACATGTACATATACACGTGCATGCCTGCAATCCTGAGAGCATGGAAGAGAAGGCATTGCAGCGCAACTACACCTTCCTGGGGGTGATTTTTCACTTTGCCTCTCTCTGTCTCTTTCTTGCTCTCCATTTTTACATAAAGAATTGAAGTACAGAGATAATTAAATACCAAAAATCAAATCTGATAAGCAGGAGTTAGGATCATACATTGTTATGTGTGTCAGCAATGTTGATCTATTACATTTAGTATGTACCAAAGAGTAGGATATGTGCTACTAGTGGTATGAGAAGTAATTTTATAGTATAGAGATAGCATTAAATAACATCAAAAATAAAAAAAGAAAGTTTTTTTATCTTCTGATTAGGTCAAGGGAAAGTTTCAGTTTGAAAGACTTACACCTTGGGACCAGCAGTCAGCGTAATGGCTATGTTGCTGGACTCCCATGTAGTCGATAGTGGTTCGCGTCCCGGACCCGGTGGCTTAAAACTCACGCCAGGTGCGTGTGTGTGCGGGGCCAAGATCCCGAGGGGAGACACGCCAGGTGCGTGTGTGTGCGTGCCCAAGATCCCGAGAGGAGAATGGAGGAGAAGGGATTGCGGCGTGACGATCCCCTCTGGGGGATGATTTCTCGCTTTCTATCTGTCTGTCTGCCTGGCGAGCACACGCGCCCTATAGCAAAAACCTCTCAAAAAAAAAAAAGAAAAAAAGAAAGACGCCTTATGATCGCTCTAACAATCCCTTTTTTATTTTATTTTTGGTATACAATGCACACCTTCTCAGGAGACAGAGAGAAAGAAAAGGAAAGGGAGACATTACCTCCTGGGGGAATGGCCATGCTGCAATTCCTTCTTCTTCTGTCTCTTCTTTGGGATTTTAGGCATATACGTACATGTGCACAGCATGACCTTCAAGACACAGGCCCTTGAACCATGGAGTCAGCCATGTGAGATGTAGTGCCTTAACCTCCTGTTACCTGCTGGCCCAATATATTTCATTTTATTGTACTTATTTTATGTTTGGGGGCAAGTAATACTGATTTTAAATTTTCTATAGGAATATGAAATTTGATTTATATCCTTTAAGACTTCTAAAAAAGACACTTATTTTATTTAACTTTATTTTAATCTTACCAGAAAGGGACAGAGTGAGGGGGGGGAGTGAGAAAGTAAGCCACCAGGTCCAGGACTTGAACCCTGGTCAGCCATATGGTAGTCCAGTGCCCTCAACCACCACGTCTCCTGCCAGCCCCATACCAAAATTTTAAATAACGTTCAGTTGAACCTTGGGTATGGAAGAAATCACGAGGATGGTACTGACTGAGGTTTATTGCTTCCCACTAGCAGTATGTTGAAAGGGAAGCAAGCCAATTTTGAAATTCCAGACTCAACTCCGTTCTGCTAGACACTAGCTATAATTTACAAGTTAAAATCACAATTAATCCTTTTCTGTGGTATTTCCTAAGCATTTATCCTTTATCCAATGATTTCCTTAGGCCTGGGGGTAAATCCTGTAGACAGATTAACGGAGCTAGGAATGAGAATGAACACACTTTTAGCTTTCGGTCCAGTTCAACTCTCTCACAAGTCAGGTGTGGGTGGGTCCAGTGAGGAAACGGCCAGAAGGAAAAAAAGTCATAGGAGATGCATCTAATCGCAGCGCGATCTAACACCATAGTTATAATTTTGAGGTCAATACCTCCAAGTTACTCGTTGCTCACATTTAAAGTTTCTGTGGAGAAAAGAGCAGGACCAGAATTTTAGGACGACCCCCAGTGACTGTGATTTTCTACTGATACATGGCGAGGTCGGGGAGTTATCTGAAATTGCAGTCTGTACAGGACTTTACACGAGCTGTGAACACCTTAAGGGCCCAGATAAGTGGCTGGGAGGTGGGGGTGGGGTGTGTGGGGGTCCTTAAGTAACACCATCAAGTTTAGCTTCACATTCCAGATAACAGAACTGGCTAAGCTACCTGGGCTCTGCGCAACCCCGCCCTCCACCTCCCTCCCCGCCCCCTTCCGCCCCGAGTTCCTTCACCGTGAGTTTATCAGTACCCCAAACTGTCCCCGCATGAGGTCACTCTGCCCGGTCACGTGTTCAGGCCCGCGGGAGCGCCACATCGCCAGCCGCACCCCTCTACCCCCACCCTGCCCACGTGACCCGGCCTAGTTTCTCCAGACCTGGCCCAACGCCTCTCGGGAAACCCCGCCCCACGCTGCGCGCCCCGCCTACAGACCTCCGCCCCTTACCTCCCGGGCTCGAGCGTGGCCCGCGGCCCCACGTGTTTCGCCCTGCCCAATGGGAGTCGGCGCGCGGACGCGAAGGGGCGGAGGGAAAAGGGACGACTTCGTTACGTTCAGAAAGGGGCGGGGCCTACGACGTCGGACAGAACGAGGGGACGCAACGGAGGCAGGCCGGAGCCGCTGCCGTCGCCATGACCCGTGAGCACCGAGACCCTTTCCTTTTGCCCTTTTCTTTTCGTCCGCCCCAAACACGACAGCCACATTGCCAGTCTTGACCTTCCCTCAGCTTCCCCAGAGAGTCCTTTCTCTAGGAGCGCTTTTTAGCCATCCTCACTCGGAGCCCGGAAATCGAGCCCTTTGCCTACCGCCACTTAAACGAGACCCCTTCTCCCCGCGTTAGGCGTAGGCCCTTCCGCATCTAACGAGTGTGAGGAGAAGCCCCGTGCCCCGGTGTTAGACCCAGAACCCCCTTCCCCAGGTTCAGCCCATCCCCCACAGAGACCCACACCGACCACACACGCCCCGCCACCTGTCTGGGCCTCCACACCGCCCCAAAAGTCAAAACACGCCTCCAGAAGGCTCCTCGGGACTGCCCTCCCTCCGCCCGGCAGTTTGACCTGCCCCGTTACAGCTTCTCTACTCTTCCTGGCCCCCCTTCCCCCTCCTCCCTAAGCGCCTAGGCCCCGAAATGGGCCGATGCCCTGGCCCGGGGAAGGAAATGCTGAACCCTTCTGGTGTGCAGGGTGCGGGAGCGCCGTCGCCGATGCGTGGCTAGAGCGGCTCCCGTGTCTCACCCTTTACTTTTTTCCCCTAGGCGGTAACCAGCGTGAACTCGCCCGCCAGAAGAATATGAAAAAGCAGAGCGACTCGGTTAAGGGAAAGCGCCGAGATGACGGGCTTTCTGCTGCCGCCCGCAAGCAGAGGTAGCCCCAGGGAGGGGACGGGTTGGGACGAGGGAGACCTGGGTTAGCCAAGGGTTGTACCTGCAAAGAGCTACTTCAGAGCTTGAATTTGCACTAGTAGTAAGGAGCACGGTGCATTGCTTCCCTTAGGGTTTTATTTCCTCCCCACTTTCCAAATTATTGGCTCACATCTTTACAGGAAGGGACAGTGATGGGTTCCTGCCCTCTGTCTGATTCTGGTAGCCCCTGAGTCTGACCTTAAGGGCAAGGGCAGGGAGCTTCTTATTTCAAACACAGTTGTGGTTAAGACAGCCCAGTACTTTTGGCCCTCCTTGCTGTTGTTTCTCCTCCTGTCTCCCAGCCTTCAAAGGGGTGTTGCTGGGTGTGGTACTCGGCACAGAATAGAGAGCCTTGGGCCTGTGTGGCCAGATTTCTGACCCCTTGGGCAACAGCCAGGTGGAGACTGATTGCCTTTTGAGCCTCAGCTCTCTTCCGCTTGTGCTCCTAGGGTGGGAATACAGCAGCCACACGCTGAACTTTGTCCCATCCACTTCCATCTTATCCTTTGTGCCCTTCATCCCCCTGCATCTTGTCCTTTTTGCCCTCTGGTACCTCCCAGTGCCCCATCATCTCTACCCCCAGGGACTCGGAGATCATGCAGCAGAAGCAGAAAAAGGCAAACGAGAAGAAGGAGGAACCCAAGTAGCTTTGTGGCTTCGTGTCCAACCCTCTTGCCCTTCGCCTGTGTGCCTGGAGCCAGTCCCACCACGCTCGCGTTTCCTCCTGTAGTGCTCACAGGTCCCAGCACCGATGGCATTCCCTTTGCCCTGAGTCTGCAGCGGGTCCCTTTTGTGCTTCCTTCCCCTCAGGTAGCCTCTCTCCCCCTGGGCCACTCCTGGGGGTGAGGGGGTTACCTCTTCCCAGTGTTTTTTATTCCTGTGGGGCTCACCCCAAAGTATTAAAAGTAGCTTTGTAATTCCTTGAGCGCCTGGTTTGACTGGGGATTTGGGGGGATGGGGATGGAGGAATGACTGTCCTTTCCCACCAAAAAGGGAGAGCTCTTTAGACTTCTAAGAGGTGGTGGATATGTAGAGTTAATAAGTGAAACATCACAGAAAAAGCCTTTATTATACTATGACAAGCAGACAAGTACTCCAGGTACATAGTAAAGGAAATCCTCTAAGAACCTTAGAAACTTTTCTGTGACTTTTGTCCCCTACCCACACCTTAAAACATCATCCCAAGGATGGAGTTGAGGGCCTGAGGGAAGGCTCCAAGACTTAAGTTTATGCTTCTCTTCCTCGTTCTTCCTCAGTTTGTTCATCTGCTTAAAAGTTGGCCAAAAAATCCTGCTGCTAACCGACTTCCCGTGGCCAGTTGCTCTCAAGTGTTCACATTCTCTTCTGTCATTCTCATGGAATGAGGGTGGTTTTGTCTTCCCACTTCCCTTCACCTCAAGGTCAGGATTAAAACCAGGGCTAGCCTTTGTGCTCCTTTCTTCCTATTCCCTGGTTTGTTCTGTAGTTCTGGGCTTCTTTTATCCCCCTGTGCCCAGCACTGAACTGCTTATTTTCCTTTTTATCTCCAAGGATAGAGCCATGTCTTCAGTCTCTGTTGGTCTTTCCCTGCTCCCACATCCAGCTCAAGTGCCAAGAGAGAGCTGGTGCCACACTGTCTGCTGGGATCAGCAGTGGTTCCTGAGCTGCAGATTTGGGAGTTAGGCTCTTGAGCTGGGATGAAGACAAAACAGTAGCTCCAGTGATTCAGAAACTCTGCCTGGGGCATTAGGGTGTATGCAACCACTTCTTCCATTTTAGACTGCTATAGACTTCAGCCTAAAGGGAAGTAACTCCCGTTATGTCCTTGAGGTATTCAGCTGAGCTGGATAGCTTCCCTGAGCCAAGACGAGGGATATAACCTCAAAGGACTTTTCAGTGTTTTAAAATGTTAGGGGGACCCTGGGCTGTTTGTTATCTGGTGACACTGATTCGATGGCATTGTCTCCTGAAGATGAGAGAGGGCTGGGGTTGCTGGGTTGGAGACCAACAGAGTGGTGCCAGTAGCAGCCCCAGATAGAGGAGTACACAAGCCCAGCATGAGGCAACCTTGACCCAGAAGGTAGACCAGCTACCATTCGTGAAAGTCTTTTCCAGTTCTGCTCCCTCGTAGCTGTGGAACCAAAGCATCTTGATTAGAGACTATGCAGGACCTTAGCTTTTTAATCTGTCCTACCTCTCCATGGAAGATCATGGCAGATCCATGTGTCTCTCCTAAGAACCTTTTGGAATGGCCTAGAATTGCTCTTTCCTTAAAATAGCTAGGATTTCAGGAGTGTCTCAGACCCACCTCCATCCTACCTGAACCAGTTGGTCAGGGTAACCATAACGTAGAGTGATGCAAGGAAGAAGACAAAGTGGAAGGCAGAATAGCTGTAGGAAAGATGCTGGGCTTGTACTGGAGTGGTTTCTTGGTCAGTTGACCTGGCAGCCCCTGGAGAGAGGGAAGGGCTGCTAGGAGCAAAGCTGTTCAGATACCTCTTTCCTCCCTCCCCTAGTTACTTTTCATGAAGCCTCTTGAGGGCCCTTTGGCACTCCAGAGATCTGCCATTTCTTAGGGCTCCTTTATACCCACCTTCCTCTGGCTCCACAGTTTCAGGGCAGCAGAAACAGAGTGAGGGCTTCTGCAAAATAGAAGGCAGCATGTTTTGAAATAGCTTTAAAGGCATGTGAAGGTGTTAATCTAGGAAATACCCCTTTGAAAAGATTGGTCTAGTGTACAAAGCAGAGGCACACTTGGGTTTAAATTCCAGCTCCAGCATATAACTGGCTATGCGAACTTTGGTAAGATGTTTAATCTTTTGTGCCTCAATTTCTCCGTTTGTGAAATGGAGCAAATACCTACCTCACAGGGTTGTTGTGAGGATTAAATTAAATGAGATTATGTATGTAAAGTATCTAGCACAGTGCTTAGCACATTACGGGTACTCAATAAAAGGTAATAGCTAGAATCTGAGCAGTCTGGGTAGAGGTTGGTAGGATGTGTGTGTATGCGCGCATGTGTGTGTATGGGTGGGGAGGGGTGTTGGGGGATACTGAGCTCTTGATCCTCACCTGGAATTCATAGCTGTAAACCTTGATGATCCACCAGGGCCCAAATACCTCAGCCAGGTAGGAGGCGTTAATCTAGGAAATACCCCTTTGAAAAGATTGGTCTAGTGTACAAAGCAGAGGCACACTTGGGTTTAAATTCCAGCTCCAGCATATAACTGGCTATGCGAACTTTGGTAAGATGTTTAATCTTTTGTGCCTCAATTTCTCCGTTTGTGAAATGGAGCAAATACCTACCTCACAGGGTTGTTGTGAGGATTAAATTAAATGAGATTATGTATGTAAAGTATCTAGCACAGTGCTTAGCACATTACGGGTACTCAATAAAAGGTAATAGCTAGAATCTGAGCAGTCTGGGTAGAGGTTGGTAGGATGTGTGTGTATGCGCGCATGTGTGTGTATGGGTGGGGAGGGGTGTTGGGGGATACTGAGCTCTTGATCCTCACCTGGAATTCATAGCTGTAAACCTTGATGATCCACCAGGGCCCAAATACCTCAGCCAGGTAGGAGGCTTCATTGCTGAGAAAAAAAATGAGTTTTCAAGCTTGTCCTGATAGCAGGAGGGATTGTCTGGGGGCATTTTTTGCCAGTTGGTTCATAAAACCCTTAGGAAACCGCTCCCTGAGGCCCTTTCCATCAAAGATTTTGGAATCTTTTTGTGTGAGGGTCCAAAGATCTTTGCCCACATTTTAAATTCTCAAGTCCTTCTTCCTGCCCCTTTCATCTCATACAGATCATCTGACGAAGTGCTATTTTTAGAAATTGTCCCTTTTTATGGGAGCTTTTCTCACTCTAGTGTTGCACTAAAGTTTAAATAAACTATGGCCTCAGACATTCTCCTGACCAACCCTCCGTATCCTTCCTGTCATACCTCTCCCCCTTGGACATTTTTACGCACCAAGCAAAAAGCACACAAGCATACATGATGCCAGCACTTAGCACTGCTAGTGAGGTAGCTGGTGTTTGGGGTTCCACTGTATTCAGGCCCGGCAGGCACAGGGTCTTATTCTGTCCTTGAAGGATTACTGGGAAGGGAAAACAGAAGGGTGTTAAGAACAAAGAACTGGGTGTTTGGCAGGAACAGAAAAGCTCCTGGCATAGAAAGTTTAGGTATTGTTCCTTACCACTGTCTGGAGGACGGCTGGACAGTGCAGAGAAAGTCAGATACATGATATAGCAGCTGATGATAGAGGCTTGCAGAAGGCCAGAGCGAGGTTGCTCTGGGAAGAATGAACAACAGCACTGCCTTACTCTACAGGGTGGTAATTTCCTCTGCTCCTACCCCCACCTGCATTTATGTCTCCTCATCTCTTGGAAACAGATTCTATTGGGTAAATGAGATGGAGGCTAATGAAAGTTGGTATACTAAAGGACCCCAAAATCTGGACTGTTGTAGGGCATGTACCCACTGAGGCGGATGCAAGGAGCGATGGAGAGGAAGGAGAGGAGGCCGCAGAAGCATAGGTGTAGAATGAGCAGCATCTTGTTGAGCAGGCAGCCAGCTGGGTGCGTGTAGTGGCGAAACAGGAGCACGGCTCCCACGCCTGCTATGCTGTAGAATCCTATGGTGGCCAGCAGCACAGCTAGGAACCAGCTACAGTCTTGGGCTGCACCTGTCTGCCTAAGGGTGGAAGGTGGCAATGGCTTGGAGCTCCAACTCTTTTTTACCCATTAACAAGTATTCTCCATCTCCCAGAAGATTGGGACTACCCATCCCACTTGGCCCACAGAGTTATGACATTTCTGAATGTTTTGATACTACTTAGTGGGAAGCTGTGGGACCAGTGACCTGTTGTGCCCCTTTGCCTAACTCTCCTACATTGATTAATCCCAGACAGCCTGCCCAAGAAGAACGTCTAGGGGTGTGTGCCTCTTACCAGTTCTTGTTCCAGGAATGGGCAAAGGCTGTGATAAGCACCAGCTGCAGTAGGATGAATGTGAAACCTCCACAGATCCCAATGTAATGCCAGGCTGCAAGATGGGCACCGGTGAGAAAATGTAGCTGCTCATTTCATTACTCCTCTTCCTACCCACTCAGCTTAGAAAACCTTTAAACCTACTTCTGTTGATGGGGTGTGAAGTAGAGTACCTGGGAAGACATGCTCATCAGGGATGCATAAGGCAACAGCACAGAGACCTAACAGGAACAGCAGCTTGAGGAGCCAAAAACTGGTTAGGAGGGAGAGAAAACCAGATTCAGGAGAAAAGGCCAAAGGAGAGTGAAAAGTGCCTTTAGGGGAAGGCAAAAGAGAAAACAAAAACAGGAAAAAGGTCAGGGAAGAGACAACTACGCGAAGGAAAGGAGAAACCAGTCCCATATGAGAGGACTGGGAACAGACCCCCTGCATACTACTACAACTCGAAAAGATATCTACATCTGGGCAATATTTTACAACTTACAGAGGGTTTGCATATAGTAATCCCACTGTTATCCATTTTTATAGACGAAGTTCAAAGAGGATAAATGTCTGACTCACGTAACACATCAAGAAAGAGGAAAGAGGGAATTAAATCTGTTTTCTGCCTTTTTACAGTGCTGTTACTTCATCCCAGAATTATCTTTGCCCAGTTTGTGTCTACTTCCCTCCTCTGTCCCCTTCCCACCCAAAAAGCATACACAAACCTGTTATGCAGCTGTGCCCGTGGGCTGGTGGGGGACTGGAGGTGGACCAGCAGCACAGCCTGCAGCAGATGGAAGGTGGCAGTTCCTGCACATACTCGGTACACAGCCCCAGAGCCACTGAGCACTGGACAGTCAGAGTGGCCAAACAGGTGTGCACACAACCCCGAGGGCATCTGGATCTGAAGGGAGTATAAGTGAAAAATGGGAGGGCAAGGCAAAGCATAATACATGGAGAGGAACCTACTTCACAATGGTATGCCCACTCATTTGACCCCTGCCCCAAATAGGAATCTCTTATCTCAGGGTTTCTCCTTTTGTCCTTTCCCTCTTTGCATTCTGACCCTTTCCCACTTACCCCATGTGCCTTGCCCCAGACTCTTTCCACAACAGTCCTAGATAACAGGAGGCAGCAGACTGTTGAGGTCCCCACGTGGAGGAGGATGTAGAACAGGCGACTGCAAGTAGACTCTGTGAGAGAGGGCCATCTAAAGTGGCAGCAGCTGGTGTAAGGAATAGTAGGTCCACAGAAGGACACCTGGGGGAGAGCAGATGCAGGGCATAAGGTGAAGATTTGTTAAGGAAAGGTATTCATTAATGTATGCATAGGTTAACCCAAGAGGTTGAATCCCAGAATTTTCCCTTTCCTCCGGTGCTTTTACTTGAGTTCTTAATGTCTGTTTGCAAACTGTTTAGGATAACTTTCCACTGACAATTAGTAGGGCTTTCATCCCCACACTTTTAGGGCAGGCTTGTACTACTCCCTTTCGTAAACACTAGGGGCTGCGGACATGGGAGGAAAGGTTTACTGACTACTGTGACAAAGGATAGAGGACGTCAGAAGAAAAAAGGCCCATCATTACTAGCTTCTGCAGGTGTTCCTCCCCAGCTTCAGCCAGCGTGTTCTTTGGATTTTCAGATAGCCCTTTCTTAAGAGACCTTTCAAGCCTATCTGCCCAGGCACCCTCTCACCTGATAGAAGAAAGGCGTTTTCACTACTACACTGCCGATGCTGCTGTGCTGCTGTGCCAGGGCCAGAGCGGTGCTGGAGCCTGTGTCAATGGCTTTAGCACCCACCATCTTTGTCCCAGAGATTAGGCCTGTATCCATCAGAAGGAAGGTAGATGAGAAAGCAGTAGCTTTTGCCCTCAGCCCATTGGACCGCCACTGTGCTGGGGGTTGATCACCCGGTAAAAGGCAGAAGGGAGAAATAAAGTGATCTCCAGGATGTGCTGAATGCAGAAAACCCTGTGAAGGTGTTTTCTCCTTAGGCCCTCTTAGGCCACTCAGGCTGTTCTCCCCAGATTAGGGGGGCAGTTTGTATCTGGCATCATGTGGATTAGCATTCTTAATTGGTTTAGGATTAAATGTCTTCACATCCGGTTGGACAGAATTCCTCAGAGAGGGTATGGTGCAGGGCATGGGGGGGTTGTTCTTGAAGAGGTGGGAAGGATGTTGGTTGGGGTGGTTTGGCCTGGTGACGCGCTAGTTCCGGGAAAAAAAAGCCTTTCAGAAAACACTACAACCCCGTGAGGAAGTCAAAAGTGAGCAAACCTACTCGCTGAAGCTTCTGGAACTGGAGCACAAAGGAGGTGTGGCTCGGGACAGCTCCGCCCTGGGCGGAAGTCGCGGGCGAGTTACCGGAAGTCGCGAGGCGGAGCTTATGCGGCGGCGCGGTGGGACTGACATGGCGACTGAAGGGGACGTGGAGCTGGAGTTGGAGACGGAGACCAGTGGCCCAGAACGGCCTCCTGAGAAGCCACGAAAGCATGACAGTGGTGCGGCGGATTTGGAGCGCGTCACTGACTATGCGGAGGAAAAGGAAATTCAGAGTTCCAATCTGGAGACGGTGAGGTTGGCCGGAAGCTGTGTGGGCGGGCCAGGAGCAGAGAGGGCTCTCAGGCTGTAGCTGGAACCCCTGCCCTAGGACGGGGTTCCGGTCCCGATGGCGGGAGGAGGCAGTGGGATAGAGCTGAGGGAAACGGCGGGCACCGGGGCCCGCTGCTTGCTAAACGGCGCCTGATGGAGATTTTGGGTTTAATTCACAGAATTTAATTAAACGCAGTACTTGGTTTCTGGTTACACTTATTATTGTGAAAACATACACGAGCCACTTATTCATTGGCATATTAGGTCATTGGAAATTATGGATAGCAGAGCAGTAACTAGACCTCTTTCCCCATAGGCCATGTCTGTCATTGGAGATAGAAGGTCCCGGGAGCAGAAAGCCAAACAGGAGCGGTAAGTCTTCAGTGAGAGACCAGCTTTAAAAACCAGCTCACCCTTCCCTGTTCCCAAGAAAAATAATTATTTTACTGTTTCACTTTTCATAGATCTAGTACTTAAAATTTTTAGTGAAAGGGAAGCCTCTGGTAACACCCCCTGCCCCGTTGTGAAGACTCCAGACAAAGGATGGGGATATCAGTGGGAGTCATTTTGTATTTCCACCCAAGTTTTTATTTTAAAATTATTTAATTTTAGAAGACAAAAAAAATTCACTTTATTTATTCATTCATTCATTTAAATTTGACAGGAGTGGGGGTGAAGTGAGAAAGCAAGGCAGCAAGCCTGGGACTTGAACATGCAGCCATGTGGGAGTGTCCAGCACCTTAACCACCACACTACCTTCTGGCCTCTCACTCAAGTGTTTATAAAGATTCATCTTTGGGGCTGGCAGGTGGCGTGGTACTTAGGGGCGCTGGACTCCAGTGGTTCTTATGCTTTTTGCTCTTCAGATCACTTAAGCAAACACCTTTGTCATAAAAACAAAAGGGGCTGACAGGTGGTATGTGACAGGTGGTGTGGTGGTTATGGGCGCTGGACTCCCACATGGTTGACCATGGTTCAATTCCTGGACCTGGTAGCTTGCTTTCTCACTCCCCCCTCCCCTGGGTCAAATTAAATAAATAGTTAAGTAAAATAATTCTTAAAAAACAAAAAAAAAAAGAAAAAGATTCATCTTTGACAAAGCATAGCTGGGCATGAACTTTTGGAGAAGGTGGTGGTAGAGGTAGAGAACGAGAACTAATGGATGTAAATATTTGCAGGGAGAAGGAACTGGCAAAAGTAACTATCAAGAAGGAAGATCTGGAACTAATTGTGAGTAGTAATGCCTTACTAGCGAATTATGAACAGAAGTTCTGCTTAGTTGGGTTGTTTGCTTAAGCAAGTAGAGTCAGCATTTAGTGCCTGGGAAGAAACCAAAGTAACGTTAGCTGTTCTTTTCTTGCAGATGACAGAGATGGAGATCTCTCGAGCAGCAGCAGAACGGAGCTTACGGGAACACATGGGCAACGTGGTAGAGGCTCTCATTGCGCTAACCAACTGATGTGCAGTTTCTCACATAACTCATCAGATTAATTTATTGCAATAAAGACTTTTTGGCTTTTTTTGGGTAGTCTTATCAAGTGCAATTTATTAATTAAGTGCAATATATTTCTATTCTGCACTGGGTCCATGGCTGGGTGGTTAAAGCAGACATATCTCACATGGCCAACTTCAGTCTGAATCCCAGGCCTAGTGGCTTGAAATACACTGATAGAGTAGAAAAATGAAGAAGGGACTGCAGTGTGACCATTTCTCTTTGCAGGGCGCTTTCTTCCTCTCTGGCAAAAAGTTTAAAAATTATATTGTGGGGAATTTATATATTGGAATATAACCGAAATTATTCTAAACCTGTATGAAGAATTAGCAAGAGTATTTCAGATGCAACTGCTAGGTGGCAGGCCAGTCACATTCATCTGACTAGTTCTCTTTCAACAGTGTTCAAGATACATATTTATAGTCTTATTTTTAAAAGTTTTAATTATTTTAAATTTGATCATAGAGACGGAAGGTGAGAAAGATGCTAGGTCCAGGACTCAAACTGTGATTGGCCTTGTGGGAGTCCAGCAGCTTAACCACCACACCACCTGCTGGCCCCACATTTATATTCTTTAACAGTTACTATACCTGATAGTATGTCTCCAGGATAGCTTACACACGGCTGAAAGGCTTTCACTTGCCTAAGAGCCATTATATATAGTTGTAAATTACCAATCCACTTCAAAGGCTTAGGTACCCAAGATAGAAATGTAGTAAGCAAAACAAAAGCAAAGGTGAGGGAAGGGAGCCCTTATAAAGAATTATCTATGAAAGATTTTGGTTAATATTTGAATTCTGAACCATAACGTGGCTTATACTTGCTGAGCTCGTTTCCTAAACTGTAAAATGTCACTTTAAAGGCTTTTGTAGGGTACAGCAGGTGGCATGTTAAAGGTGCTGGGCTCCTACATAGCCAATTATGGTTGGAGTGCCAGGCCTGGTGGCTTGTTTTCTCACTTTGTTGCGCTCTGATCAGCACACATGCCCTACAGCAAGCTTAAAAAATAATAAATAGGGGCTGGCAGGTGGCGTGATGTTTAAGGACATAGGACTCGCACCATGGTCAACTGTGGTTTGAGTACCAGACCTGGTGACTTGCTTTCTCTCTCTCCGTCCCTCTCTGATCAAATTAAATAAAGTTAAATAAAATAATTCTTTAAAAAAAAAATTTTAAAAAGGTTTTAAGAATTGATTTGTTAGACCTTAAGAATGGATAATCTACAAAGTTATAAACAACTAAGCTATTTATGTATGAAACAAAGGAAAGTATATCGAGAAGGGATTAAGTTTTACACAGGATGTCTATAATGTGTCACATTTCTTTTTTTCTTTTTTGCTATACGGTGCGTGCACGTGCCAGAAAAACAGAGACAGAGAGACAGAAAGCGAGAAATCACCCCCCTGGGGGATGGCCACGCTGCAGTCCCTTCTCCATTCTCCTCTCAGGATCTTGGGCATGCACGCACGTGAGCCTGGCGTGAGTTTAAGCCGCTGGGTCCGGGACTTGAACCATGATCGACTACAAGGGAGTCTAGCGACATAGCCATTACACAAACTGCTGGTCCCAGTCATGTTTCTTTTTTAAGAGAGATTTTGCTATGAGGTGTGTACACTTGCTGGAGAGACAGAGACACAGACACAGAAAGCAAGAAATCACTCCACAGGGGGGATGGCCACTCCACAGTCCCTTCTCCATTCTTCTCTTAGGATATTGGAAATGCATGCACATGTGTCTGGCATGAGTTTTAAGCTGCTGGTCCAGGACTCTACCTAGGAGTCCAGCGATGTAACCATTACACCATCTGTTGATCCCTATGTCACATTTCATTAAGTGTAAACATTTTAAATGCATACTTAAATACTGTTTAAGAAAACAATGATGATACAATTGTAGTAGTATTCCTCACAGTACTGTAGTACTGCCTCAGAGCAGACAATTAGTAGCTATAAACATTTTCCAAAAGAATTTCAAGGCTTTGTTCTCATTTTGGCTCTAGGGTAATTGTAAGATTGTATCTCATGCAATAGTGACCTGTATTTACATCTATCTTTATATTCTTGATCAGCAATTATTTGTACTTCTATTTTGTATGCTAGGACATTAAATGGTTTGAATGATTCTGCCAGTGAGGCATTTGAAGGATGTGAAATGGTCTTAGTCTCATTTCTTTAGGCAACTGAGAAATCGGGCTAGATGGTGGTACAGCAGTAATGCAACTGACCCACATGGAAAGGTCTTGGGTTTGCTTCCCGAGGCCTCCCTGTACACACCAATCATGTCTACTAATCTGTCTGGGCTGACAAAGGGAGTGGATCACAGTGTAAGGATCCTGAAGAAGTGCCTGTCTCTCTGATGGAAGAAATACTTTTCCTGTTTCAAAAAAAAAGTCTTATTGCTGGTTACATTTCTTTCTGTGACTTTGGAGAACACTGGTGTCCTCCCTGATACATGAGCTAGGTAAGATACTGGTAGGTACTTGGATAAAACAGATGCCCCATTTCATGGTTCAGCCTCTGTCCTTTGTATAGCTACAGGAGAGCAAGGATGCCCAAACATACCTTTATTTGCTCCTGGAATAAGTCTTGGTGTGTAAAGCCTGTATAGTATCTGAGTTTGAGATCAAAGGGGATGATCAAAATATGTGGAAAAAAAAAACTGAGACACTCCCTGCCTGATAATTCCCTGCTTTTAACTTTGATAGGTAGGTAGTACTTGTCAGCCTGTACATTTTATTTCCAGTATCATGCTAGGAATCTTGGTGGGTGATTCTTTTATTTGACATACACGTATAAATGGATCAAAAAATACGTTCACCTAGAAAAATTGACTTCAACCAAAAATGCAAAACTGGTTTCAATGAGCTTAGATTTCCTGGTATATTACTCCTAACCTTAAGGTAGAAGTAATGCAATATCCACTTAAATGCTCACATTTCTGACCCAAGCTAAGGGGCTAGAAAAACTCACAATAGTCCCAAATAAATCTGGGAAGCTATAGTAGTGGTGAAACCTAAGACTTCCAGGGAAAGTTTTAAGTAGAAAGCCTTTAATCCTACCTGGATACCTGGATAGTGCTTTGCTGTGGGTTTCTCAGCATGAGTCCAAACCTCACAAAGAATCTTTAAAGACTGAGTTATAGTTATCCAGTAACACAAGTATGGCAATAGGTCCAATAGGCTAGATACAGGGGCTGTATCAAAAATGGTGAAAGAAATCAAGGACCGAATGCTGAGACTTCCCCTTGTGTCCCATAGTTGGAAGAACAAGTAGTTGGACCCTAGGTAGTTTTCCGCTTCTTGGCAGAGGGTCGTTCAAATACATCTCGTACTCCAGCTGCCTTTTGCTTAAAGAACTTTGTGTTTTGGGCACTCTCTTGGCCCCATGCTGAGTCGAAGGAGGTGGTGTCTTGATCAACAAGATGAGTATATTTGGTACGGCCAGAACGTCCAAAGTTCTTGACCTGAGGAAAGGGTGAAGAATTACACATGAAACATGACATTCCTTTTACTTTACTTTTCTCTCCCATATTCTTAAGGTTTCTCATACCAACCTGCATGACTTTAGGAAGAATTGTTTTATTGAAATGATCCTCCAGAGTAGGTGCACTAAAATCTCTCTTGTATACTTCTTCATCTTCATCCTATAAAAAAGAATCATACTATCAGTCTTGTGGTTTTATTTCCCATATATGCAAACCACAAATGTATTACACTCTCCGAGGGATACAAAGAAAACGGTACTGAGATTTTTCTTAAGAGTTTACAAGTTTGGGGAATCAGCAGTTAGCGTAATGGCTATGTCACTGGACTCCCACGTAGTTGACCGTGGTTCGCGTCCCAGACCCGGTGGCTTAAAACTCACGCCAGGCGCGTGTGCATGCGTGCCCAAGATCCCGAGAGGAGAATGGATTGCGGCGTGACCATCCCCCCTGGGGGGGTGATTTCTTGCTTTCTGTCTCTATGTCTCTCTCTGTCTTTCTGGTGAGCGCACACGCCCTACAGTGGGAAAAAAAAAAAAAAAGAAAAAAAAAAACCTCTCCAAGAGTTTACAAGTTTGGAGCCAGCAGGTGGTGTGGTGATTAAGGGCACTTGACTCCCACATGGCTGAACAGAGTTCGAGTCCTGGACATGGTGGCTCGCTTTCTCACTCCCCGCTCCCCTCTGGTCAGATTAAAATAAATAAATAAAGTTCAATAAAATAATTCCTTGTTTTAAAAAGAGTTAACTAGTTTGGATGATACTTTTTCCCTTTGTTGTATTATCTTTTTCCTTCCTAAATGTAGACAACATTTGAAGATGGGCTTATCCCTATGTACTCATGTACACACTGTGCTCATTTACTCATTTGACTGTATACAGGCCTCTCAAATCTTCAATCCTGGGGGCTGGTAAGTGGCGTGGTGGTTAAGGGTGTTGGACTCCCATATGGCTGACCGCAGTTAGAGTCCTTGACCTGGCAGCTTGCTTTCTCACTTTCCCTTTCTCTTTGGTCAAATTTAAAATAATAACAAATAAAATTAAATAATTCCTTTAAAAAAAAATACCCTCCAATCCTGAATTTCCAACTGATCACACACACACACACACACACACACACACACACTAGTTTTTGCTATGGGGCATGTGCACTCACTCACCAGGCACTCACCAGGGGAGGAGAGAGAGAGAGAGTGAAGAATCTTCCCCGGGAGGTTGGTGGCCATGCCACAATCCCTTCTCCATTCTCTTCTTGGGATTTTGGGCATGCACACATGTCCCCAGAGCATTTTTTTTTTTTTTTGAGAGATTTTCGCTATAGGGCGCGTGTGCTCGCCAGAGACATAGAGACAGAAAGCGAGAAATCACCCACCAGGGGGAATGGTCACGCTGCAATCCCTTCTCCATTCTCCTCTCGGGATCTTGGGCACGCATGCACACGCGCCCGGCCTGAGTTTTAAGCCACCGGGTCCGGGATGCGAACCGTGGTCGACTACGTGGGAATCCAGCGACATAGCCATTACACTAACTGCTGGTTAGTGTATTTTTAGAGCATTTTTCAAGCCAGGTATGGGACTTGAACCACAGGTTGACTATGTGGGAGCCCAATGCCCTTAACCACCACACCACCTGCTGGCTTCCATGCTCACAAACTTATCATCTGGGTTATTATAGTTTTTCCGTATAGTCTTATGCACTACCACTGCATTACTGTTTCTAAAACCAACTCTAATGTCCCGCTTTGTTCAAAAACTTGAATATTCTCTATTTCTTAAATAACCACAACACTTCTGTGTAGTAGTCAAGGCCAAATATTACACAGCCTTAATCTAACATTTAGTTCTCCTAGCCACTTTGCTTTACAGCTGATACTTCCTCTACTCCTGCTGGTCTCTTCACCCAGAATGTTTTCTAACCACTCAATATCAAGAGTAGTACATCTAAAATATCACCTCCTGTATGTCATCCTTGTCAATCTTCTACCAAATATAACATCTCTCTTCATAACTCCTACGGTACTTTAACTTTTATAGTGTTTATTTGCTTAGCCTACTTTTAGACTGCAAGTCTTTTTTAAAAAATTTTATTTAGTATTTCAGTTTGATTGGAGAGAGAGTGAGAGAGTGAGAGAGAGAGAGAGAGAGAGAGAGAGAAACCAAACTGCCAGGCTCAGGACTCAAACTGTAGTTGGCCATGTGGGAGCACCCCAACCACCACGTCATCTGCCGGCCCCAAACTGCAAGTCTTTTGATTATGTATTATCTAGAAGTGCTAACTGGTGATGTTTACATAGTAAAAACAGACAAGTTATTTATTCAATGAAATATAAAGTAACTAGAGAATAGTTTCAAATCAATGTGCTAATAAGATATAATACTCTGAGACACAGGCTATAAGCATACCTGTTGAAGTAATTAAAATTAGCATGACTTTGGTTAAGAAAGGCTTCATGGAAGAGTTCAGTCCTTTTTTTTTTTTTTTGGACAGGTTTTTTTAATAGGGCGTGTGTGCTCACCAGAAAGAGAGACAGAAAGCAAGAAATCACCCCCCGAGGGGGGATGGCCACACCACAAACTCCTCTCAGGATCTTGGGCACACATGCACATGTGCCCAGTGTGAGTTTAAGTCACCAGGTCTGGGACTTGAACCCTGGTGGATTACATGGGAGTCCAGCGACATAGCCATTATGCCGACTGCTGGTCCCCTAGGATAATTAATTTTTATGAGATCTATTTTTCTTCTTGTTGGGTGTGAAAGTCCCTCATTTAGTCCCAGAAGTCATTTTTTTAAAAAGAATTATTTAAATTTTACTTATTCATTCAGTTATTTTCATTTGACCAGAGAAAGACAAACACACAGAGATAAGGAAAGTAAGAAAGCAAGCCAGGGATTGGAACCGTGGTTGCCCATATGGGAGTGTCCAGTGCCTTCACCATGCCACCTGCTGACCCCCTAAAAATCATTTTAATCTCATGCCTTTGTCCAGATGAGAAGAGGCAATATTTGAGTTTGGTGCAACAAAAAGCTTAATTATTAAATCCACATGTACTAGGGCGAGCAGGAAGAGTAGTGGTGGAGATGCTGGACTCCCACTTGACTGACCACAGTTCAAGTCCCTGACCTGGCAGCTTGCTTTCTCACTTTCTCTCTCTCTCTCTCTCTGGTGAGTGCAGATGCCCTGTAGCAAATTTTTAAAATAAAAATTTAAAAATAAAGAATTATTTATTTAATTCCATTTATTATTAGTTTTTAACTTGACCAGGGAGAGAGAGAAGAGAGAAAAAGGGAAAGCAAGAAAGCAAACTGCCAGGTTGAACTGCGGTTGACCATGTGGGAATCCAGGGCCTTTAACTACTATGCCACCTGCCGGCCCCAATAATTATTTATTTATTTATTTTAAATTTTAATTTTTTTTTTTGGAGAGATTTTCACTATAGGGCGTGTGCGCTCGCCAGACAGACAGAGACATAGAGACAGAAAGCGAGAAATCACCCCTCAGGGGGGATGGTCATGCTGCAATCCCTTCTCCTCTTGAGATCCTGGGCACGCATGCACACGCGCCTGACATGAGTTTTAAGCCACTGGGTCCGGGATGTGAACCGCGGTGGAGTATGTGGGAGTCCAGCGACATAGTCATTACGCTAACTGCTGGTTCCCGGCCCCAATAACTCTTAAAAACAAAAACCCATATGTACTGAGCAACTACATAATAAGTAAACATTTCCTAGTGATCAGAGAGGCTGAAATTGATTTTGGAGGTCATCTTCACTGAAATTTAAAAATTTTATTACTATCTGTGTTGAAGGCAGGATTTTAGCTGCAGTAGAGATATTCAGAGTTTGATAAAACACTTGAAAAAAGCTACCGTGGTCCCCCTGACTGCCCTGCCCCCCCGCCCCTGTCCCAAGATTTTTGCTATAGGGTGCGTGTGCTCACAGAAGAGAGACAGAAAGAAAGCAAGAAATAACCCATGGAGAATGGCCACACCACAATCCTCTCCCCTACATTCTCCTCTTGGGATTCTGGACACGGAGACACATGAGCCTGGCATGAGTTTTAAGGCGCCTAGTCTGGGACTCAAACCACTAGTCGAGTGATGTAAAACCATTATGTCATTTGCTCGTCCCAATTTTCTAACTTTTTACATCTTACCATGAAGAAGGCACCCCGGTGATAATACTTTTGTAGGAACTTGTATTTGCCCTTCACAGCTTTGTTGGTGATAACTTTGCCATTTGCTCGAAGCTCAGCTCGCCGCTCACTCAGTCAGGTTTCGCATGCGTTCAATTTCTGCTTTCTCTTTCTCAAGCCTGTCAGGAAGCAAAATTATTTATTAGTATTGTTCCAGTCTCAGAAAGACCCAAAGACTTCCAAAAGTCACACAGTTCCATTTCTTTCAAGCACTATTCACCTTCTTTAATTCTAGTAGTTGCCTGTTAGTAGTCAAGACCAAGAACTCAATAAACAAAAAGATACATTGGTTTTCATTATGTTCACCAGACCAGGTATGTTTGCAAACTTCCAAAAGTTGATTCTAGCCTCTCATAGTTTCAGACATTATTATTGCTTGATTTTACAACATTACTAATGCCTTTTTTCTAAAAATCCTTCTTTGAGCCAGCCAGGTGGCATAGTGGTTAAGGTGGCTGGATTCCAAATGTCTGATTGCATGGTTCAAGTCCTGGACTCAGTAACTTGCAAAACACACTGGGCGTGTGTGAGTGTACGTGTGCCCCCAAAATCCTGAGAGGAGGGACCAGCAGATGGTGTAATGGCTGTGTTGCTGGACTCCTGCATAGTTGACCGTGGTTCAAGTCCCAGACCTGGTGGCTTAAACTCACAACAGTCAGGGCTGGCAGGTGGCGTGGTGGCTAAGGGTGCTAGACTTCCACATGGCTAACTGAGCTTCAAGTCCCAGACCTGGTGGTTTGCTTTCTTCTTTCCCTCTCTCTCACTCTGTTCCTCTCTGGTCAAATAAAAATAAATAAATAAAATACTTTTTTTTTTTAAGAGAGAGATTCTGCTATAGGGCATGTGTGCTCACCAGAGAGACAGAGAGACAGAAAGGGAGAAATCATCTCCCAGGGGGGATGGCCATGCTGCAATCCCTTCTCCTCCATTCTCCTCTCGGGATCTTGGGCATGCACACACATGCACCTGGTGTGAGTTTAAGCCACCGGGTCTGGGACTCGAACCTTGGTCGACTACATGGGAGTCCAGCAACAGTCATTATACCAACTGCTGGTCCTGATAAAATAATTCTTAAAACAAAAAACCACCCACACCAGGCACATGTGTGTCCATGCCCAGAATCCGGAGAGAAGAATGGAGGGGAGGGGATTGCTGTGTAGCCGCAGGGGGATGATATCCTGTTTTTCTGTCTCTCTGGTGAGCACACATGTTCTATAGCAAAAATCTCTCTCAAAAACAAACAAACAGGGTGGTGTGGTGGTTGAGGGTGCTCGATTCCCACATGGCCAACTGCAGTTTGGGTCATAGACCTGGTGGGTTGCTCTCTCTCCCCCCACCCCCACTCTGTCCCTCTCTGGTCAAATTAAAAAAAAAAAAATAAAGTTAAATAAACTAATTTTTAAACAAACAAAACAAAAATCCCAAGAGGAGAATGGAAAAGGAGGGATTGTGGGGTAGTCATCCTCCCAGGGGATACTTTCTCACACTCCTTCTCTAAAGAAGGGAAAAAGAGCCTTTTTGACTTTAAAAAAGTCTAAGTACATTTAAAATAACTGTCCAAGGGGGCTGGTGGGAGGCATGGTGGATAGGGCACTGGACTCCCAAATGGCTGACTATGGTTTAAGTCACAGACCTGGTGGCTTGCATTCTGACTTTCCCTTCCTCTCTCTCTGGTCAAATTAAAAGATGATAATAATAACAAAAACAAAAAAATAAAATGAAATAAGTAATTATTTAAAATAAAACAGGGGCCAACAGATGGCATGGCGATTACATTGCTGGACTCTCATGTGGCTGACCACAGTTTGAGTACCAGTTCTGGTGGCTTGAAACTCATGCCAGGTACACTGTATATATGCCCAAGCTCTTGGCAGGAGAATGGAGGAGAAGGGAGGGCAGCATGTGCACACATGCACCCTAAGGTAAATGGCACATGACTTTGTTTGTATTCTTTTATATATAAACACATTATAATCATATATGTGGAACCAGGAGATGGCACATAATGGTTACATTGTTCGACTTCCACATGGCCCACTGAAGCTTGATTCCTGAACCTCAATGCTTGAAATTCACACTGGGTGAATGAGTGTGCAGGCCCAAAATCCTGGGAGGAGAATAGAGAAGGAAGGATTGTGGCATGGCCATCCCTGAGGGCTGATATCTTGCTTTCTGTGTCTGTCTTGCGCACATGCCCTAGAGCAAAAATCTCTCTCTCTCTCTCTCAAAAAAAAAAAAAAATCAAATATGTGCTTACAGGTCATAAACCAAGGATCATCATTATTAGAGTGCAGTGACTTCTAACCTTTTGTTAAAAGGTTTTGTTTGGGAGGTAGAGAGGGACACAGATACCTTTTTTCCAAATAAATGCACATAAACACAAAATTCTGCATATATTTTAAATGGGTGCACATACTCCTTCAAGCCTAGGATGAGAATTTAAGAAACTACAAGCTAAGGAAAGTTATCTACTAATGATTTCCTTTGTAACCTGGGATTACCCTTTCAAACTATTTACAGGAATGGGTGACAGCTCAGAAATGATTCTGCTCTAACTTAAGGAGTAAGGTAGATTACTTAAGGGCCACAAATTCTTCCCCTCACAGTGTACATGCTCCTTTTCAAGGTAACCTCTGCTGTCCCTCCCATCCAGAGTTGGAGTCTACTTCTCCACCTTCTTGAACCTGGACTGGCCTTGTGACTCTGACTGGATAAATGGCAGATATGATGTAAGTTCTGGAACCTAAGCCTCAGGAGACCTTTGCCAATTTCTACTTTTGCCCTCTTGGACTGCTACCCTGAGATTGCTATGTAAGGAAGCCAGTCTAACCTACTTGAAGAACAAGAACCAACTACCAGTGAAGCCCCTTTTGGACTTCTTAGCCCAGACAATCTTTCAGTTGGTTGCAACCATATAAGCCAGCCCAGGTGAAACCAAAGGAAATGTTCGACCAACCTCCAAAACTGTAAGAAATAATAAAATCTTGTTTCAAGCTACCCAATTTTGGGTTGGGTTGCGCAACAACATGATGTTTAACTTTTGTGTGTAAAGGGAGTGTTCGCAGGCACTCCTATCATGGAGAAACACCAATGAAGCGTTTCTTTTCCTTGATGTTACTGTAACAAATGACTGGAAACACACCCAGCTGCAAGAACCTTAAAGAAAAGAAGAATGGAACTCACAGTAGGTGATGAGCCTTGGAGTTGCCCTACTAAGAACCTGTCCCATCAGCAGCATTAATTCTAGGCCTATCCTTTTACTCACGCTTCTCGATCTTCTCTATCCCTCTTGATTCGTTTTAGTTCTCGGACTTTCCACGCCTCGTATTCCTCCTCATCATTTTCATCATCAGTATTGAGTGCATCCAATGCAGCCAAGGACCGCTTATTCTCCTCCAGTTCTTTCTTGGTCTCCTCTTCTACAATCTGGATAGGGAGGAAAATGCAGCTGTTGGATTTCCTTGTTCTCAGACAACCCAATTTCACTACTCCTTGTACTCAATCCTCACAACCACTCCCCAGCACCTTGAGTGTGTACTTGCGCCTCTCTTCAGCCATGCGTTTTGCTTCCTGCTCCAGCTCCTTCTGTTTCAATGCTTCAGCCTCACGTTCTTGAACTGTTACTCGGTCTTTCCTGCAGCACGAAGTTCCTGTTAATTACTCAAAGTCCTCAGAATGGAGCTCTTTGTTCCCCTATATCTAGTCCTACCCATATCAAATAAAGCTAAACAATCTTATTATTTACAGAGAGCCCAAAACAGAGACATCCCAGGTTTTTAGAGCATCAAAATTCCATTCATCTTTGAGAATTGTATGAATAACAACAAACTTGCTAGAATGTAAGCAGTAGGATTCCAAGTGATTAGGAAAGAAATAGAAATTTTCTCTTTAAGCTTAATTTTGTGAGCTTAGGCAGATATGTGCTTTTTAATGGGAAAGGATGTGAAATCAAACTCAGGCTGTCTGCTAACACCAAGATATTCTTCAGCAAACTCTGAATGGCTAGGGCACCAGGCAGAAGACTGGCACTTAGTGCTTAGATTTGAGAAGAACAAGGGATAGAAAAGGGACTTTCTGTCTTCAGATGTGGAAAGTAGTACTATGTGGATTAAGGCCTGGGTGATGACATACTTACTTTCGAATAAAGACTGGCTTAAGGCGAGGCTCCATCTCATCTTCACTGTCCGTGTACTCTTCGTATTCAGATTCTGATTCTGACTCTTCCCCAGAACGTCCCTCATCTTCAACCTCCATAACTTCCATCTCTTCATTTTTTCTCTCCTGTGCTCGCTGACGCATCATGCCACGGCGCCGCTCTATTTCCTATCAAGTCACACAACTGAGCCAGTCAGTCAAATGGCCTGTGCTCCAAAATGGCTTTTTACTTTTCCCTTATCAAGCTAACAAATTCTGGTATGAGTTAATGCAACTCAGCACTGTTTCGATCCTACACCCGACAGACAGGGAACATGAACAGAGGTCTGCCAAAAGCAGCGATATTGTACCTTTAGGATCTGAACACAGGACCCCTGGCCCCAACCTTTTCTAGCACCCAGAAAAAACTACGTTTTCCTTTATCATACCTCATCATCAATTTCTTCCTCCTCTTCTTCACTGCTATCTTCTCGTTCCATGCGCCAAGCATCTCCTTCTACCTCTGAGTCACTTTCTCCTACCACTTCAGGCTCCACTATTTTCCGATGTCTAGCCAGTCTGAAAAACAGCAGCTCCAAGTGTAACACCAGTGTCACAAAAACGGAGATACCTCAGTCACATTTCCTTACTTACAGAGTACCTGCTATTATGTTTGCTTTCATTAATATTGAAATTTTGAGATGGGGAAACTGAGGTAGAGATTAAATAAACTAATTTAGAGTGTCACAGCAAATGTTGAGCTTAAAACATTCAACATATATTGTGGCATCCTCAGGACCATGGCAAACACAAAAAGGGACATAGCAGGAAATTTTTAATAGCTCCAAGTAGTTTAGTTTTAATACACTACATTCTATTGGTAACACTGTAACTTTGTGAAACTAGGTTTCTGGTGGCTGCTATGCTAAGTACATCATGGAAATCAATATAGAACAGGAAATGAGAGTGACTGTACCAACTGATTCCAAGGTCTGAAAACTGTCTGTATCCACTAGGCATATAAATGCCACTAATAAATAACTGTGGTTATGTAACAATTAAGTGTTTTCTCTTTGATGGCATTATATTTTTCCAGAGGCTAAGTTGTTGGAACATAAATACATAAATTACTTGGATCTAATTATTTCATGTAATGAAGCACTACTGTTTTTGCCTACGAGCTCTGTGAAAAGATTCCTGAGACAATATGAACTGTAAAAGTTTAGCATCACTGGGACCAGCAGATGGAGTAATGGTTATGTCGCTCAGCTCCCACGTAGTTGACCCTGGTTTGAGTCTCAGATCTGGTGGCTTAAAATTCAGACTGGGCATGTGTGTATTTATGCCCAAAATCCTGAGAGGAAAACAGAGAAGGGACTGTGGTGTGGCCATACCCCCGAGGGGTGATTTCTCACTTTCTGTCTGTCTCTCTCTGGCTCCCCAGTGAGTGCACATGCCATATAGGAAAAATATCTCTTAAAAAAAAAAGTTCACGATCACTGGGTTTGTCTATAGGTAATGTCTCAATTAACATATAACACATGAGACCCCTCATTGGGAAGCTCTCTCTTTTTTTAGGATTTTGCCATAGGGTGCATATGCTCACCAGAGAGACAGAGAGAGGGAAAGTGAGAAATCACCATCCAGGAGAAATGGCCATTCTACAATCCCTTCTCCTCCATTCCCTTCTTGGGATTCTGGCATGTATGCACACATACCCAGTGTGATCTTCAAGCTGCCTGGTCCAGGACTGGAACAGTGGTTGACCACATGGAAATTCAGTGCCTTAATCACCATGCAACCTGTTGGCCACTGAGAGGCTCTTTCTTTTCTTCTTCCCTTTTTTTTTTTTTTAGAGAATTTTGCTATAGGGCATGTGTGCTTGCCAGAGAGATAGAAAGTAAGAAATCGACCCCCAAAGGGGATGGCCACACTCCAATCCCTTCTCCTTCATTTTCCTCTTGGGATTTTGGACACACACACAAACTCGTCCAGTTTAAGCCTTTGAGTCGAGGACCTGAATTGCAGTTGAGTATGTGGGAGTTCAGCGACGTAACCATTACATCATCTGCTGGTCCCCTGGGAGGCTCTTTCTTTTTTTTTTAAAAAAGAACTATTTTATTTAACTTTATTTATTTTATTTCCTTATTTTTAAATTTAACTGGAGGGGGATAGAGTGAAAGAGAGAGAGAGGGAAAGTGAGAAAGCAAGCCGCCAGGTCTGGGACTTGAACTGTGGCTGGCCATGAGGGAGTCCAGTGCTCTTAACCACAGCACCTGCCGGCCCTGGGAGGCTCTTTCATTTTTAAAAAAAATTTTTTGGAGAGGTTTCGCTATAGGGCATGTGTGCTTGCCAGACAGACAGACAGACAGAAAGACAGAAAATGAGAAATCACCCCCAGGGGGCATGGCCACGCCGCAATCCCTTCTCCTCCATTCTCCTCTCGGGATCTTGAGCATGCATGCACATGCGCCCGGTGTATTAAGCCACCAGGTCCAGGACTTGAACCACGGTCAACTACATGGGAGTTCAGCGACATAGCCATTATGCTAACTGCTGGTCCTGGCTCTTTCTAACAGACCTTTATTTTATCTTATTTTTTAAAAGAATTATTTATTTTGAATTTTATTTACTCATTCACTTATTTATTTATTTATTTAAAATTTTGACTAGAGAGAGAGAGACAGACAGAAAGTGAGAAAGCAAGCTATCAGGTCTAAGACTCAAACCATGGTTGACCATAGGAGAGTGTCTTGCACCTTAACCACCACACTACCTGCTAGTCCTCCTGACCTTTATTTTAAATTTTAGAAGGATAATGAGTGACCACATTCCCTACTATTACCAGGCTTGATTATACTGAATTCCCTTTTCCTTTCCTGTTTTTCCATTTCATCAGGATCTGAAGCATGTGCCCACATACAACATATTGCCCTTGAGGCCAGGCTTTGAACAACCATTGGCCATGTGGGATCACCCTTTCTTTGTACAGTGCTAAAGCACTGCACAATGGGGCCAAATTACATGAAACCTTTCATCAGGTCTTTTTTCCTATTTCATCAGTATTATTTCCCCTTGTCAACATTTAAAATAAGTGAGTAGACAGTATCAACTTCTCAGGTTTTTTGGCTAAAAAGACTCCCCTCAACAAATAGTATATATTTTCTGTTCCCTTAATGGGTTAATTATGGCTTTTAGGCTCAGAAATAACAAGTAGTTTTCTGAAGCTTCCATTTACTGGTTGCATAACTTTGGTTGTTTTATTTTCCTAACGCCTGTGTGCCTCCGTTTCTTCACTTATAAAATGAGGCTAATAGTAGGGACCGTCAGATGGCATAGCAGTTATGTCACTGGGCTCCCATGTAGTCAAATGTGGTTCAAGTCCCAGACCTAGAGGCTTAAAACACATGCCAGGGGGATCAGCAGTTAGCATAATGGCTATGTCGCTGAACTCCCACGTAGTTGACCGCGGTTCAAGTTCCGGACCCAGTGGCTTAAACTCACGCCAGGTGCATGTGCGTGCGTGCCCAAGATCCCGAGAGGAGAATGGAGGAGATGGGATTGCAGCGTGGCCATCCCCCCGGGGGGTGATTTCTCGCTTTCTGTCTCTCTGTCTGTCTCTGTCTGTCTGGTGAGTGCACGTGCCCTATAGCAAAAACCTCTCCAAAAAAAGAAAAAAAAATAATAAACTCATGCCAGGCAAGTGTGCATACATGTCCAAATCCTGAGAAGAGAATGGAGGAGAAGGGATTGCGATGTTGCCATCCCCTCAGGAAGGTGATTTCTTGCTTTCTGTCTTTTTTTTTTTTCTTTCTGTCTTTCTGATGAGCACATGTACCCTATCACAAAAATCTCTCTCAAAAATAAATAAATAAGGCCGGCAGGTGGCATGGTGGTTAAAGGTGCTGGATTCCCACATGGCCAACCACGGTTCAAGTCCTGGACTTGGTGGCTTGCTTTCTCACTTTCCCTTTCTCTCTCTCTCTGATAAAACTGGAAAATAATAATAATAAATAAAGTTAAATAAAATGGTTCTTTTTAAAAATAAATAAATTAAAAAATAAAATGGGGCTAGTAGTACATATTTCATAAGGAGTACAGAATTAGTCAGTGTAATCCCGCTGGAATAGTGTACTTGGTATATAGTATTATCCAAGTGTTAGCTGTTAGTTTTTTTGTTTAACTTAACAAAAAGTTTATTATGAAAATGTACATGACCTGATTTTTTAAAAAGAATTATTTTATATCATTTTATTTATTCATTCATTTAGGATTTTTTTTTTTTTTGGGGGGGAGAAGTTTTTGCTATATAGCTGTGCTTGCCCGAAGGACAGAGAGAGACAGAAAGCAAGAAATCACTCCCGGGGGGATGGCGATGTCACAATCCCTTCTCCTCCATTCTCCTCTCAGGATATTGGGCACGCATGCACACATGCCTGGCTTGTATATAAGCCACCGGGTCTGGGACTTGACTACATGGGAATCCAGGACGTAGCCATTACGCCATCTGCTGGTCCCTCATTCATTTAGTTTTTTAATTTGACCAGAGAGAGACAAAGAAAGAGGGAAATGAGGGGCTGGCAGGTGATATGGTGGTTAAGAGCACTGTACTCCCACATGGCTGACCGTGGTTCCATGTGGTCTTGGACCTGGTGGCTTGCTTTTTCACTTTTTTCTCTCTCACTCACTCTGTCCCTCTCTGGTCAAATTTAAACAAACAAACAAACAAAGTTAAATAATTCTTAAAAGAAAAGAAAGATGGAAATGAGAAAGCAAGCCACCAGGTCTGGGACTCAAATCATGGTTGGCTATGTGGAAGTGTTCAGTGCCTTAACCACCATGCTACCTGCTGGTTCTCCTGATTATTTTTTTAAGAGAAATTTTTTGCTATAGGGGTGTGGTTTTGTCATCACACCCCAGGGAGAATGGCAAGGCCACAATTGCTTCTCCTCCATTCTCCTCTCAAGATTTTGGGCACGCATGCACAGATGTCCAGCATGAGTTTTAAATCACTGGGTCCAGGACTCAAACCACAGTCAGCCACGTGGGAGTCCAGTGACGTAACCATTATACCTTCTGCTGGTCCCATATGACCTGATTTTTACATTATAGTAAAACAGGCCCATTGACAAGGGGACATGGATTTTGCTGTTGAACAGCCATTATTTATACTTGTTCCAATGTTCCCTAACATGATGATATTATTTCCTTGTATTACCACCATCCCAATATTATTCTGTTGTCATTTCTACAGTCATCTATCACAAGATTCATAAATGGATCAAATCCCCACAATATTCCTTTGATATGTTTGCCACCACTTAATTTCAATGATAACTTCTTGTCCATACCTTTTCTCAATTTGGGAGGGTAAGCTTTGCTCATGGTACCTACTCGACAGGCTTAGAGATGCCTTTGAATAGAATTCTTGGCTTCTTCATGTTCCCCTGTGTTGTTCTTTTTTTTTTTTTGAGAGGTTTTTGTTATAGGGCACGTGTGCTCGCCAGACAGAGAGAGACATAGAGACAGAAAGCAAGAAATCACCCCCCAGGGGGGATGGTCACGCCGCAGTCCCTTCTCCTCCATTCTCCTCTCGGGATCTTGGGCACGCACGCACACGCGCCCGGTGTGAGTTTTAAGCCACCAGGTCTGGGACGCGAACCGCAGTCGACTACGTGGGAGTCCAGCGACATAGCCATTATGCTAACTGCTGGTTTCCCCCCCTGTGTTGTTCTTAACCAACCTTTAGCGGTTCAAGTCCAAGGGAACATAACCTTAGTCATTACCTTTCTTCCACATCTTCACTAATGCGGTTCTGTAAACGCCGCAGTCGAGGGTCACTAGAAGAATCTTCTTCCTGTTCCTCAGGCTCTGCTTCTTGTTCTTTGGCTTTCTTAATGAACTGAAATTCTTCATCCTCTTCATCTGAGGACTCCATAGGGGCATAGTCTGGCCTCTTTCCGGACACATAACGTTTTACCTTGACTTTTTCCATCGAAATTTCACCTGGGTGAGAAAGATAACATATTATGTTTCAGCACCCTCTTTCTCCATGTCCTTCAACCATTGGCCTTTGCAGGTAGATCCCTGAATTCCTAGTAGACACAAATCTAAGCAAAAGAGAGCCACTAACTAATCATCTATTCACGTAATAGTGCATGCATTCTTACTAAGGCCGTGTCACAGGAAGGCATTCCTATGAATATCAACTCTAATGAGAACAAGGCCTACTAGGAGTACAGTAGAGCAAGCTGGGCAGTGAAACAATAGAAAAGGTCCACCCTTAAAAAGGCCAACTTTAGGATCAGCAGATGGCATAATGGTTATGTTGCTGGACTCCCACATAGTTGAATGTGGTTTGAGTCCTGGACCCTGCAGCTTAAACTCATACCAGGTGCATGTGCATATGTGCCCAAAATCCTGAGCAGAGAATGGAGGTAGGTGAAGGGATTATGGCATGGTCATCCCCCCAGTGGGTGATTTCTCACTTTCTATCTCTTTGGCAAACAAACATGCATTATAGCAAAAATCTCTCTTTAATAAAGAAAGAAAGGAAAAAGGCCAACTACAGGCCAGTCAGGCGGCATGGTGGTTAAAACAGCTGGATTCTACATGGCCAACTTTATAGTTCAAGTCTTGGACCTGGTGGCTTGAGAAACATGCTAAGTGCATGTGCCAAAACCCTGAGAGGAAAATGGAGAAGGGATTGCAGTGTGCGCATCCCACTTGGGGATGATTTCTCACTCTTTCTTTCTGGTGCGTGCATGCATTCTATAGTAAACTGAAAACAAAACAAAACAAAAACAAAAACCCAAACCAAAAAAATATGTTCAGTTAAAGAAAAAAGGCAAGTTGCACAAGCATAGGTACAGCATATTTAAAGAACAAAAAATAATTGATACTTTTCTGCAACCACAAAAACTCTTTAGTCTCATTCTGAGAACAGATACAGTGTTCCTTTTTCCATCCATACTTACAGAAGTTCTAATCTTCCCTCTTAGGATCAATTTAACTGCCCACCTTCTTCAAGAAGCTTCCTTGATTACTCCAATCTAAAGTGATTCTTGCTTTTCTGTCCTCCCAAAGGACAGATGTCAGGGCTGGCACATGGCATGATGGTTAAGGGTGCTGGACTCTCATATGGCAGAGCGTAGTTCGAATCCTGGACCTGGCTGCTTGCTTTCTCTCTCTATTTTTAAGAATTATTTATTTAATTCTACTGGCTATTTTTTATTTTGACCAGAGAGAGAAAGGGAAAGTGAGAAAACAAGCTGCCAGGTCCAGGACTTGAACTATGGTCAGTCATGTGGCAATCCAGTGCTTTAAACCACCATGCTACCTGCTGGCCCCCACGCTTTCTGTCCCTCTCTCTCTCTCACTCTGCGCTCTGTCCCTCTCTGGTCAAATTAAACATAAATAAATAAATAACATTAAAGAAAATAATTCTTTAAAATAATATCATGCTGGGAAAGTTTATTAAAAAATATGACAGATGTCACAAACAAGACTGTACATGGCATAAAATGTGCCTCTTCTGGGACCAGCAGTGGGTGTAATGGCTATGTCGCTGGACTCCCATGTAGTTGACCGTGGTTCAAGTCCTGGATCCGGTGGTTTAAACTCACATCGGCCACGTGTGTGTGTGCCCAAGATCCCGAGAATGGAGGAGAAAGGATTTCGGCGTGGCCATCTCTCCCACTCCCCCGACCCTCCCAGGAGGGTGATTTCTTGCTTTCTGTCTCTCTGTGTCTTTCTGGCTAGCCATATGCCCTATAGCAAAAACCTCTCAAAAAAAGTGCCTCTTTTTGTATGTCTTTTATCTACTAGAATATGAATGTCTTCCATTCTCACTGAATGAATTCTTTAAGGTTAGGAATCTGTCTTACACTATTTTTTTAAAAAGAATTATTTAACTTTATTTATTTTATTTATTTATTCATTTATTTTAATTTGATCAGAGAGAGAGACACACACAGAGAGAGAGAGAGAGAGAGGGAAAGTGAGAAAGCAAGCTACCAGGCCCAGGACTTGAACCATGATCAGTCATGTGGGAGTGTCCAGCACCTTAACTACCATGCCACCTGCTGGTCCCCTGTCTTACACTATTTTGTATTCAACTTACAAAGGACAGTCGTTGAGCTGTTTGAAAAGGATAAATTTGAATACACATGGTTCCAGCCTCATGGAGGTTATGAGCTTATGATCTTGTAGTGAAGGAAGACAGACATGAACAACTGTGATTGACGAGAGTTATAAAAGCAGCATTAAGGGCTAGCAATAGCCATACTGGTTACATTGCTAGATAAAGTTTGAGTCCCAGGAGGGTAGCTTGAAAATCAGGCTGGGCACGTGTGGATCTGTGCCCAAGATTCTGCAAGGAGAATGGAGAAGGGATGTAGCATAGCCAACCCCCCTAGGGGGGTAATTTCTCACATTTCCTCTCACTGTCTCTGTCTCTCTACAGAGTGCATGCACCCTAAGGCAAAAACCTCTTAAAAAGAAAAAAGGGCTAGTGGATGGCATAATGGTTATGTCACTGGGCTCCCATGTAGTTGACTGGGGTTTGAGTTCCTGACTGTGGCTTAAAACTCACACTGGGCGCATGTGCTTGTGTACCCAAAATCTGGGAAGGAGAATGGAGAAGGGATTGCTGCGATGGTCATTTCACCAAGGGGTTATTTCTCAATTTCTGTCTCTGGAGAGCCTACATGCTCTCTAGCAAAAATCTCTCTCTCTCTCAAAAATAAAGGGCAGCATAAACAGGGGTCAGCAGGTAGCCTGGTGGTTAAGGCGCTGGACTCCCACATGGCCTGTGGTTCCAGTCCTGGACCCAGTGGCTTGAAAGTCTGTACCTAAGATCCCAGGAGAATGGAGAAGAGATTGTGGCTTGGCCATTCCCACTGGGGAGTGACTTCTCACTTTCTCTCTTACTGTCCGTCTCTCTGGCCAGCACACGCATCCTATGACAAAAATCTCAAAAATAAAACAGTATAAACAGACTGTTGTAGATAACAAAAGAGGCTGTAACCCTCACAGCGTCCTGCAAATAGCCACTCACTGTGGAGAACAAGGGGAGAGGAATGGTGGTTGTATATGAGAGCAGACAGGCCACAGAAACAAGATCAGACACAAGTGAATGTTCCCGTTTAGCAGAGTTTAGAACGGAAAGGTGGAAAAAAGGGGGCGTGGAGGGCGGAACGGGGCCGGGTCTTAGGGGGAGGGCGGAGTGGAGGTGTTGGGCTCGGGGGCGGTCTGAAGGATACTGAGGCAAGAAGAAGTAAATTCCAACTGGAAGAGGGTCGGCACGGTACCTTTCTCATTGCGAACTGGCACGGCCCCCGCCGTAGACTGAATAGGCGGCTGCTTCATGAGTGCGCTTGGGACCGACATGTTGACGGCAGCTACGGTGACTCCTGAAACTTGACTGATTCCAAACAGTGAAACACAAACAACGTCAACGAACAGAAAACCTTTTCTCCGTGGTCCACAGATCACGGCTGCGCGACTGATAAAACACTTCCGGCTGAGCTAGATAAACCGGAATTACGTGACAAGAGGATTATGGGATTTTGGAGGACCTTGCGCGCCGGCACTTCGAGTCTGTTACTGCGCATGTTCGTAGGCGGACTTCGCGTCCTTAATCTCGCAGGATTTGGATGCCGTTTCTGGCGGGAAATTGCTTCCTTTGGGCGTTGCTGTTTGACCGTCTGGCGAGGAAGGACCGAATTAAAGGTTTTACGTGTTAGGTTGGTTTAAAGTAAGGAGGTGGGATAGTGATGAATAAAAACTAAACGTTAAGTAAAGATTTAGAGTTTATGAGGGCTGTTTGTCCATATTCCTGAAAATGAAGAAAAGTTAGTTCTATAGAAGAAAAACTTAACTCTGGCCCCTAGATTAGCTCAGTTGGTGAGGGTGGGTGTGCAGTGGCGCGGTATTTATAGGTTACACTGGAGCACGTGGTGGTGCTTCAGACCAGCAACAAAAGACAAAACCAAACAGTCCAAAGGGTCTGAAATCCCAACATTTTGCTTTTAGGCTTTCAAGTTCTTTCAGTTTCTGGAAACTGCCTATTCAGATATGGTCCTGTTTTTATTTAAGTCCATAAGTAATTACAGTTGGCTCTTGAACAATCTGGGTTAGACCTACGCGGGTACACCTTGACAAGTTTTTTTGTAAACATTGTGTAAATTTATAGTAAGGATAAGTAGATTATAGTACCAGAAATGTATGTTCTATCCTATGATATTCTTTTCTTTTTTTAACTTCGTAGGATTTGGCTAAAATCCCTTCTCTATTTCTTCCTGATCCCTGAACACAACACCTGGCATGTTTTTCAAGCTGCTAATCTGAAACTGGAACTGGGGGGGTTGGTCGTGGATCCTTCATCTTCACCCTGCTACTGCCTGGTCTCCTATTACATTCTCAATTTTTCTTTTCTAGCTTTCCTTACTGTATATAATACATGTAACATATGAAGTATATGTTAATTGACTACATTATTAGTAAAAATTTACTGGTCATCAGAGAATCAAAAGTTATAAGCAAGGCCAGCAGGTGGCGTGGTGGTTAAGGCACTGCACTCCCACGAGGCCAACTGCAGTTCAAGTCCTGGATGTGGTGGCCTGCTTTCTCTCTTTCTCTCTCTCTCACTCTCTGGCGAATGGGTATTTTCTTTAGCCAATTAAAAGGTAAATAAATAATTAAAAAAGTAAAGAGTTATAAACAGATTTTGACTATGTGGCAGGTGGGGTTGAGGGGTGCCCATAACCCCCTGCATTGTTCAGTGTTTATGACTCTGAAAGAAGTATGGAATATTGTTAAAAAGCCCTTGGGGGCCAGCAGGTGGCATAGTGGTTATCATGCTGGACTCCTACATGGTTGACTGTGGTTCAAGTCCCAGACCCAGTGACTTGAAAATCATGCTGGACATGTGTGCATGCATGCCCAAAATTCCAGGAGGAGAATGGAGGAGAAAGGATTGCGGCATGACTGTCCATCCTGGGGGGTGATTTCTCACTTTCCCTCTCTCTGTTTTTCTCTGGCAAGCGCATGTGCCCTGTGTAAAAGTTTTTTTTTTTTTTAAAGCCCTTGTCCTCAAGAAGTTTGGATTTTAGTTAGGAAGTCTTCAAGGGCTTCTAGAATCGTAACAGAAGCAGCCCCAATTTATTAGCTGAGTTGTGTTAAAAAAATAAATAAATAAAAAGAGCTAGGGACCAGCAGTTGGTGTAATATCTGTGTTGCTGGACTCCCATGTAGTCGACTGCAGTTTGAGTCCTGGACCTGGTGGCTTAAACTCATGCCAGGCGTGTGTGCCTGTGTGCCCAAGATCCCAAGAGGAGTATGGAGGAGAAGGGATTCCACCTCAGCCACCCCCCTGGGGGAGGGGGTGATTTCTCACTTTCTGTCTCTCTGTCTCTGTCTTTCTGGTGAGCGCATGCGCCCTATAGCAGAAACCTCTCAAAAAAAAAAGAAACAAAGCTAATTGGAAATCAGAATTTTACTTTAGAAAGAACTTTTAACTGAGGTGGTGGAGGAGAAAAGGGACAGCATGAGCAAAGTGTTGAAGCCTAGCAATAGCATGATATATCCAGGACACTGAACAACTTGATATCAGTAATTTTTAGTGGAGGAGGGTGAGAATTTTGTGAATACTAGGTCATGGAGGGCCTCAAAGTTGGCTGCTGATATGATTAACTCTCAAATTATTTCACCTGTGTTTAAAAGTAATCCTCGGCAGGGAGGGAATAGATTTAATGGGAAGGAAATTGTTTTGGCTCATGAAACCCAGAGAATGGGGGAGGAAAAGTTCAATATGGATGTGAGTACATGAAATACAATGCACTGAAATCTTACTTATTTTGTGATAGCCAAATGGTCTGATCCACACCTTTTTCCCAGGCTTTGAGCTTTTTAACATCACCCTTAAGGTCTTTTATTAGCAGGTGGACAGGTAGTCATGTGAGATTTAAACAAGCTTAAGTTAATCAGCTCTTAGGAAAAAAAAAATCAAATGTTTTTATAGTCCACTCAGGGAGAAATAAGAGGACATCCAGGCATAGCCAAATTTATTGGAATTTATTGATTAAGCTGGCGCCATGGGGTGGGGGGAGACTCATGTCTCTCATGTTGCCCCGAGTGCAAGGTGAGGGGCACTTATAAAGGCAAAAAATGCACTATCAGGTCTGGGATGATGTGATGATTCAGGTGGGTAAGGTGCAGTGGGCTTCATGGGGCAGGGGGTAAGGGTTAGGTTTCTACAACGGAAAAGCAAAGCAAGCAAAAGCACATCACATAAAGCAGGTTAGAAAAAAGCAGGTTAATCATCCCTAAGGATATGTTCTATCATTACCTAAATACAATGGAATCTTGATAGTCTTTATGGTCTGGTGACTGGACCTTATCTTAAGGCAACTAGGAGAAGTGGGGTGTAAAGACAATAGGAGTGTTAATGTACTTAGACACAGAGGAGAAGGCAAATTTCCATCATAGGAATCTTAACAGTTTACAATGGAGGCGCTCCTCCAAGATGGAGTTGCTCTTGCTTCAATGCTTATTTTTCTAAAAAGAAAATAATATGGTGGTGAAAGGGCATACTTTACTGGTGGGGGAGTTCTAAGGAATTGGCCCAGGCCAAGGCTGCATGTTGATTTCGATTTCTTGTCCTCGCTATTACAAATGGCATCAGAGGATGTTTCCATTTTCTAGGCTCACATTGCAAGGCGAGGTGGTTTGTCCTTAGCAGAAACGTCAGCGTTTTTCAAAGCGAGATTCCAGTTTCCGCCAGCCTCATAATTACGAGATCCAAGGTAAAAAGAAAACCCCCCCCCCCCCCAAAAAAAAACAACCCAACCTAAACCGTAAAATTTGAGCCTTAGCGTGAGACAATAAGGCAATCTTTAAATAGTGCGGGTAATTCCGGTACCGCCCTCGGCTCCCACTGGGGGTGATCTGGGCGGAGCCCGCCCTTTGTGAGTCCTCCCACCCCGGCCTCGCGCCACAGTATTGGCGGGAAGGCACGCTAGCTAGCGTACCCAGGGAAAGATGTCGGAGTCGGGGTCGGGGTCGGGCTTAGCCTCTGAGGAGAAGGCAAACTCCAGACAGCGACTCCAGGTGAAGGTGAGAAACCGGTTGACGCTTTCCAGTGTGTTCCTGTTTCAGTCGTGAAGCATCTGCCAGCAGGAACAGGCCAGCAGGAACTTGCCACTGGGGATCCCTGTCCTGGTTTTTCTCTATGGAAAACTAGGCCTTCGGTGGTGAGGAAGATTCTTACCGATAACCTTTGCAATAGTGTCAGGATCTGGTCAAGGACCCTCTTTTCCCTCCCCTCTGCATTTCCTTTTGCAGCAGTTACTGTCAGCTTTCTACTCTTAAACAATTTCAGTTAGTCTGAAGTTGGCAGTTGGGGTAGTCTCAGTTACAAATGCTAGTCATTATTATTATTTGTCTCTCAAACTCATATGGAGAAGAACTGTGCCCAGTATAATGAATAATTCTATTCATGTTAGTGAATTATGTATCTAGATTGTGAAGGGGAGAAACATTTTCCTTACAGGCTATCAATTTGGATTTGTATTATTATGAAATCAGAATTAGATTTGTTTATACAGATCTGATGGGGAGACTGTAAGAAAAGGCATGGGACCTGTGATTCTAACAGTTTTCTTTTATTGACTTGAATAGGTGAATGATTGTAAAGAAAATCAAAACATCACTTATGTGTCATTGATACCTGTTCAGACTGCCGTTTTAGGTAAAGCACCTAAGGTTTATCTTGCTCCCTTTTCACTCAGTAATTGCAAGCTAGACCAACTAAAGGGTGCCAAAGCTCTATTAGAAAATAATTCTGTGCTGTGTAAGAGGTATAAGAAGACTGAAATAAAGAAAACGTGCAGGGTTTTAATTCCAAAGATGAATGTCACATCTTGCAAGGAAGAATCCACTTTGCAAAAATCATCCTTCGATGTTCACATTGAGCATAACAAACCACAACACAAGAGCACTTCAGATATGGTGATTCTCAGTGGTGACATGGAAAGCAGTCAGGATGGAGATAGTGATGAAGAAACCACACCAGGATCGGTAAGAATTTAATTATCAGCTTCATGTTTTTATTATTGTTTTGAAACTTGAAGTTTGTTAAACTAAGTTTATCAAGAATCTCTCTAGCTGAGACAAATTATTATCTGATGTATGTTTAATTGAGAGTTCTTATTTTTGTTTTATAATTTGCTAGAAAGCATGTGCACTCCCAGCAGACAGACAGACGGAGAGGGAAAGTGAGAAAGCACCCCCTGGGAGATGGTCACACTGCAATCTCTTCTCCATCTCTCCTTTCTTTTTTAATTTGCTATAGGACAGGCACACTCGAGGGAGAGAGAAAAACTGAGAAAGCACCCTTCAGGGAGGATGACCATGCCCCAGTCCCCACTTTTTCATTATCCTCTTGAGATTTTGGGCACACATGTGCCCAGTGTGATTTTTTTTTTTTTTAAGAATTATTTTATTTAACTTTATTTATTTATTCTTTAATTTGACCAGAGAGGGACAGAGAGAGAGAGAGAGAGGGAGAGAGGAAAAGTGAGAAAGCAAGCTGCCAAGTCCGGGACTTGAACCACGGTTAGCCATGTGGGAGTCCAGCATCCTTAACCACCACACTAACTGCTGACCCCAACCCAGCATAATTTTTAAGCTGCTGCATCTGGCACTTGAACTGTTCCATTAGTTGTGTGGGATCCAGCTGCTCTAACCTCCAGGCCACCTGCTAGCCCCGTGTTTATATTTTTTAGCTAATAAATGGTGGTACCACCATTTATGTACAAGTTTCTGTGTGGGCATATGATTTCATTTTTCTTGTGTGTATATGTAAGAGTGGAATTGCTGAGTCATATGGCAACTCTGATTTTTTTTTTTTTCTCAGAGATTTGAATGCCTTTTTTTTTTTTTTTTAAGCATGCCATAGTGCACATGTGCTTACCAGAGAGAGACAGAGAAAGGGAGAGGGAAGATGAGAAATCACCCCCGGGGCATGATCCTTCTCCACTTTCTTCTCAGAGTTTTGAGCATGCCTACATGCACATGGACTTGATGTGTTTTCTAAGAGAACAGGTCTGGGACTCAAACTTTGTATTTGGCCATGTGGGATTCAGTACCCCATTCATCTTGCCATCGTATGGCTTATTTTGGATTTTTGGACTAAGGATGCTCACCCCATAATATAATTAATGGCAACTAGGAACTAATTTACTATTAGGAAGAATAATTTTATTATTAGTTTACACTATGTGACTCCTTTTTTCTTTTTTTTTAGTTTGCTGTACATCATGTTTGTTTGCTGGGGGATCAGGGAGTCAGAAAAGTGAGAAATCACTCCCCCATGGGGGATGACCACATTGCAATACCTTTTCCTACCTTCTCTCTGGATTTTTGGTATACACAAACACGCACCTGGCATGGTTTTCAAGCCCCTGGGTCAGGACACGAACTGTATAGTCGGTCATGTGGGATCCAGCCATTTTAACCACCACACTACCTAGTTGGCCCCATGACTCCTTTTAATAACAGATCATTTCTTATTTATTTACTTATTTCCCTTACCAGAATGAATTTTATTGGTATTTGCTACATAAACATACAGTGGTAATTCTTGGCACTTGGTAGTTTGTCTATGAATGAAGTTTATGAAATCAGTAATGCCATTTTGAAAAGGATGTTGTCACAGATAATTTACTAAGTTCAAGATAGTTCTATTTAGCAAAATCCAATATTGTTCCCTTAGTACTTTATAAATGGAATTTTCTTCTACTTGTATCCATTTCCTAGGACTTTAGACCCATTTATACTCTCCATATTTAGAATCAAAGGTTCCTTGCTGAAGAGATGTTAATTTTAAGGTAATCTGTGGCAATTCCCACTTTTCACCCTTGAGTATGTTTTTGTGAAGTATGAAGAAAATATAATCCTGCTGATCATGGAATGTGGCAACCTGCCTGCCAATAACTTGATCATGGGGGAAGAGAGATGCAAACATACATTCAGCTGAATGACCTAGCCATGTTGCAAAATTATTCAGTTACTTTGGGTATGTGTTCTGTGGGATCCTTGTCTTGTCTCTTAATTTCTTTATGAGGATGAACACTTTAAAAACATTTTAGGGACCAGCAGTTGGCGTAATGGCTATGTTGCTGGACTCCCATGTAGTCGACCGCGGTTCAAGTCCCGCCCCAGTCGCTTAAACTCACGCCGAGCGCGGGTGTGTGTGCATGCCCAAGATCCTGAGAGGAGAATGGAGGAGAAGCGATTGTGATGTGGCCATCCCTCCTGGGGGTGATTTCTTGCTCTCTGTCTCTCTGTCTCTCTCTGTCTTTCTGGTGAGTGCACACGCCCTATAGCAAAAACCTCTAAAAAAATACATTTTAAAATGAGCAGTTGGACCATTTGGCAGTTGACTCAAAATAAGTCCATTTGGTGTTTTATGTCTCCATTAATGACAGTCAGGTCTGTGAAATCTCTTGAGATGCATTGTAGAATAATTTTTTTCAGAGCCAGTCCTCTTCTGTAATAAACATGTGAGTATAACTGTACAGAAGAGAGCTGTTCACAGAATCTTACTGTTCTCCCAACATGTCAATCTGATATGATGAGAATCTTGGGAGCAGTCTGTTGAAGTAAGAAATAGCTTTATCATAAGGAACTTCATCATCATTAGGGTCTACTGTGGTTTCATCTAGCACTCACTGGTTGTCAGTGGTCTTGGGTATAGGCTTTGGTGGAGCCTAATCACCAAGAACCTCTCTTTTAAGTTTTTTTTTTTTTTTGCTCCCAGTTTTTCCTTCTGCTGCTGCTGTTTCCACCTTGTGAATATTAAGTGTTGTCGCTGTATGTCCTTAATCTTTGAGATGCTGAAGCCTGGAGAAAAGGCAGCCACTTTCAGGGATTGGATCCCGCTTTCCATTGCTCCATCCCCAGTGGCTGCCACTTCCTGAGGTTCTTCTTTAGCAGCTCTCTGTCTCGCGCTTT